CGCCAAACAAGTTTTACAATCCATGGGATATGTGCTCCAATCATCTAGACAAGGTGGTTTATTAACTTCAATGGATCGACTAAAAATTCATGATTTTTTGGCAGAAATAGAGAGAGAGAGAGAGAGAGAGAGAGAGAGTACGTTAATTGAATTGCAAATTTGTCAGATATTAAGGGGAACTTCAAGAAAAACCCGCTCAAAATTTAATTCAGCTCGGAAACTTCACTGGAATAATCTTTAAGGTTCTAATGTAATAATTCCTGGTTAAAGAGTTTTCTTTTTCTTGAAAATCAACATGTGAGTTGAGTGTTGTATRTCGTWAATATAGAATGTATTAGTAATGTGTGTGGAAGGAMCCTCWCGKAAGAGCCAGGTATGGGGAGTGGTGRTTGTAAAATATATAAGTTCTTGTTATCACATTTGGAGTATTAAATGTTTACGAATTGCAAAAATACTTATAAAGAAATGTTGAGTTGAGTAAATTATGTCAATGACCCCTTTGATTAAAGATTCGCAAACATATGAGAGGCGAGTAGTGCGATACCGTCACGCTACCCGACATTTGAGACAGGTGTAATATAATGGAAGGAAGTCCGGTCACGCTGAAGACCATGGGTGATCGACAATTTGCTAAATGCATTGACTTCTAGACATCCGTGAATTAGAATAAAACAAACAAAGAAGAAGAAGAAGAAGAAGAAAACCAATAGGAATTATTGCACGATTGAAGAATCGGAAAAGCTGATATCAAAGATGAAAAACAGTGTAGATGAAGATGAAGATAACGGTCAAATAGCATGCCCAATACTTGGTGTTCTTGAATGATTCATTCAACAGAACACAACAGAGTCTGCAAAGAACTGAGTTTATCTAGCGGTTGATTATGATGGTAAGACTATGGGAGACGCCTTTCTAACATTTCAGGGTATACAATAGAGTTGTTGTTGTTGTTGTTGTTGCTTTTGTTGTTCTTGTATAAGTGATATCTGTCACTTTTCGTTTCTTCTCTTCATTTTTCTTTGTTTTTCTGGGTTTTTTTCCTTCCCTATTCATTTTCCATTTTTTCATTTTTCATTATTCACTATTCATTACTCTTTCTTTCTTTCWTTCCCTCTTCGTTTCTTTGCCTGTTTTCTTGCTGAATAATCTTTTTTTTATCCACAATTTCTTTTCTTGATCTTCTGGCTTTTTTCAATCATTATCTCTTATTTCTTTCCTCTATTCTCCCGTGTTGTATGGTTGGTTCACCAACGGATCGCGTTAGTCCTTCTGTTTTTCGATATATATTTCCTACAAACAGTCTTTTTTATTACGAACCAACGCGAACGCGTTTTACCCATACCTACTGTCTTAGAAATGAGACTTAAAAGAGACCTAGAATTTCTAAAACAAACAACTTAARTATCCGAACTAAAAAATACCTCAAATCAAAAGAATTCTTATCTCAAAGAAATTAAGAAATAGAAAACATCAAAAGGAAAATCTCAAGGCCGCACGGCAGACGAATTCATTTATAGATAGAAGTGTTTTGGTTCACGTTAGGTATTTATTGAGCTCTACTCAATAACATTGAAATCCTCCGCAGCAAATTGACGAACTGCTGTGAGGGAAATTGGTTTTTTTCTCAGTTTTGATGAATTTATTAACRAGAAAGCAAAATGAACACTAGAGCATTGCATACACAACATAATAAACTAGTCAAAACATGAAGTCCTTGGGAGAGATAGAGCTGTTATTAGGTTAGCTTGAATTAAGACACGAGAGAGAGCGAGAAGGAATAGTTGAGTCAATTCTTACTTTGCATTTGTGACGTAATCTGGTGCCGATAGAAATATCCGTCTGCTACGAGAGTAAGACACTTAAATATTACCATATATAGACCGTTCTAAACACACAGCTCACTATAACAAGCCCTCTAGAAGATTCTACAAAGAAAAGCCGTCCGGGAGCAAGCTAAAATAAAGCAATATTTTAAAAAGAGTTTGCAGCGAGACGCGAAATAAGGGAGGCCGTAAATAAAAAGAGCTCAAAAGATCGATAACCATGTTCTAGACTGAGTCTAGAAATACTGAATAGAGTAGATATCAATTATTTGACCCTAACACACTTAATAATTGAGGTATAACGAGAAAAACGATAATAGTCTATGGAGCATGCGTAGCCGGCAATAACCGCAGGTCTAACCCGAAGAAAGCATGCATATGATGGGTGTACAAAMACAATGTATAGCATGGTCCAAGCGTACCTCGCTCTGATATTTTGTCAGTGGCGTGAATGAAGAAAAAAATGGATTGGAAAAAAACGCTCAATTGTTTTTGTATGGGGCGTCTGTTTTGGGAGAAGCTGCAAACACAATGCGCCCACTGCGCATGGCCTCAGCGTCTTATCAGTTCATTCTCATTCCCAGTACTTTTCTATTTCTTTTCTTTCCAAAGAAAGTAGATACCAGAGTGAGATGTACAGATTACGATAAAACTAAAATCCAGGGAGCCATTTTCCAGGCATGTTTTCCCCATGATACCATTGTCAGGTCATGTATTTATAGTAGAACCGTTCACCTGGTTTTCATTGAACTCTTACCACGTCCAGTTATCACCACAATCTTATCGTATTCTAACATAATTATCCACATTTATCGCGAAAACTATTCAGTCTTACCTACTTCTAATGTTTCTTTGTCTTGTGTAACGGAATGAAAGATCTCGTTGAAGATTCAAGCTGTTGATAAATGGATAGACGCTAGATTAATCACCTGATATATGTATCAGACTGACACATTCGCAACGAACTAGAAGCCTAAGACAATCTCTAAAACTCATGGTCTTGTGTGAACAAGTAGAGTTGCTGTTCGATTGTCTCCTGTGCTAAGAGGGTTGTTCTCAGGTTTTCCTCCGGTTTTCCTCTCTCCACAAAAATAAGTTTCTAAATTCCAATTAAATTCGGTTGCATCGAAGAGGAGCCACTCTGTGGATCATTCGGGTCATTACCCATTTATCTATCTAATTTTACTCACATTTTGATTTTTACTCAAACTGCTATCTTCTTCATCCTTACCTCTAGTAATTTTCCTGTGGATGATATTGTTTTATCTTCCATCAAGCGTGCAGCTCTTCTTTGTGACACAGATGTTTATGAATCTTTGATGCTGGTTATCGTAAGACCGTCCACAAATTTCCAGCGTATGGGCGAGACTGTTATAAATGAAGTTTAATTTGTCCAATATATTGATTTGAACTCAATTGACATCACAGTCACTTCGCATCCAATATAACCTCTTGTATTTGGTAGCTTTTCTCTTGACAAGGAGGCAAAACTCGATCATAGGCCAAATGTAGTAATGCGGGAAGCTGTCAGAGAACTGCTTTAAAGTGACGTGCAATCAATTCCTGATCAATTAAAAACTTAAGGGCTGTTTGATAGCAATAATCTAAATGGGTTTGATGTGCTTTGATGTTGGTCCGTCTGTAGAGCAGGGTTTTAATCAATCTGAGACGTCAGAGTCGCAAAACACTCTGGCAAGAACACTGCACAATACCACACACTTCATCCGTTCCGTTCCGTTCCGTTCCGT